TAAACAGGGTGATGCCAAACAATAATCTTGGGGAAAAAAATCAATTTTCCCCAGATATTTTTCTCATCTGAAAAATGGTATGTGTGGAAGGAAGCTGGAGTGTACACTAATCAATTTCCTACTGTATTAGGATAAAAATGCAAAGATGTAGACCATCTCAAGTAGAAATGAAAGGGTTCATAAGAAGCCCCTGCAACACCTGTACCAACTCCACCAACCCAGACAGAAGGGACAGCTTTTCCATACTTTAGTCTATACTTCCCAGTCTCAGAAAGACAAGAAGCAAAATTCCCCACATCCTATTTCTTCATATTTCTTCATTTCCCCTCTAGAAATATCCACTACTCTAAGATTACTGGTTACCCTGCCCATAGGATTTGTTTAAACACATAACTGTTTTTCTGCAGATCCTTATAATTCTTCTGTGGATAACAATGTACATAAATTGTATTATAGCACATTTCGCACATACCATGTTACTCAACTTTATTTTGTGAGATTTACCATGTGGAGTGTATTTTACTAATCTTCAACTCTTCCACAGTATTTAATAGGAATAAACCATAGCCAACTGATTTACCTTGTCTGTGGACAGTCAAGCTATATATCTCCACAAATGTAACCTATGAGGGTGTGTCATGCTGCTGTGTGAAGTAATCTTCAGGGTAGATACCTAGACAAGGTTTTGTTGGAATTGTACATTTGTACATTTCACCCTTACTATGTACTTCCAAACTGCTCTCCAATGTGGTTAAACCAATTTACTTTTTCTAAAAAAAAGTTAACACACATACACACATACCATTCTCCACACCCTTATCAATACTTGGCGCTATGACAATTTATACATTGCTGCCAACATAAAAGTTCTGGTGTGCTAACTAATAATTATAGTTAAATAATATTTTCCTAAGGTCCCTTGTGGTCATATAATTGTGATAATCATATCAATGCCAAATCTTATCAAAAATAACAAAATAAAGGTTGTGGAGGGGGGGAAAGTTTACAACAGATTTACTTTTCCTCAAAAAAATGTGTTGCATGGCCAAAGCTGGCCCATGACCCATACATCAGGCCATAAAGGGGAACGGGTACATGGCGCCAATTCTGTGTTTATTTTCTTGTGCTCATAATCCAATGTTACTTAAAAAGCAAACTGCCTAATATCCAAGCCAAAGCAAATATATTGGATTTTGCCAGGGAAAATGCCTGTGGAGAAATGAGTCAATTCATACAAAATTCAAAACTGTCTTTGGTCAGTGACATTTTCATGAAAATTTGTGGGTGGGTAAAAGTTTTGCAAAACTCTTTTTTGCTATTGGATTAAATTCATCCAGGAAAAATAAGCAAAGTGTAAGTGGCAACCCACATCGTTCCTAATTCCCTTCCGAACACTCCTTAACCTCCCAACACAAATGCTTTCAACTGTGCAGGAAAATGGGCCAGGTGGTTCTGATCCCAAACAGAACCCTACTTAAGGGACAGGCTGTTTCTCAGCATAAGCATTCATGAACCAAGCTTCTCATGTCATTCAGAATGCACTTCAAAAGCTCCCAGGGAAACACTCCTGGGCACTGTCCACTCCTCAACTTAAAGACAGAGACCTCCATAGGGTCAAAAGCATTTGACATATTCTTTTGGAACCATCACTATGGGGGCCTTAAGGAATGGTTGTATACTTTCACGATGTAATACAATCTATGCTATCATCTTATGAACATAGAAATGGTCTGGAAGAGAAAGGAGAAAAGCGAGAGAGAGGGAGAGGGAGAAGAAGAGAGGGAGAGAGAGAGAAGACACACACACACACACACACACAGAGAGAGAGAGAGAGAGAGAGAGAGAGAGAGAGAGAGAGAGAGAGAGACTTCATTAACTTCATTCTCTAAGACTTGTTCTGAATTGAAAGTCTGGCACCTCATCATCTCAGAAAGACTCGGGAGTGCTCACCAGTCAGCAACTCAAGACTCGCCAAAGACCTGATCCAAAAACAAGACGGTAGAAAGAGAATGGTGGGCACCTAGAAACTGCTTTAGTTAAAAGACATGCGTGGAATGACTTGGGTGCTTTAAAACCTCACCACATTTTGTTTCTGATTCATTTGAGATCTGCCTCTCTGCCTACTGAGGCCTTTGTTCTTCAAAACTTTGCCACTGTCTGGCGCTGTCCCCTTCATGCAACTTTAAGGACTTTTCATGCAACTTTACTGGAACTTTAAGGACAGATTTCATAGAGCTGGTCAGCATGGAATCTGGTGAAGGGTAGGGCTGTTTGGATGATAAAGGAACCCATCCTTTTCTTCCAGAAACAGAACCAATGACGTCAACATCTTCCCCTGGCTGTGCCACCAAGAGTCCTGAGTGATCTGCACCCCAGGTTCCAGTTAGTCTGCCACAGTCACAATGAGAAATGATTGACAAGATGCATTCTCCCATGGAGCAAAGGGAAGTTGGCACATGGGGAGGAATACACCACAGCCTCTTACTGTAAAGCAGGCCTCAGTCTTGACACATCCATTGTTTACCATAACTTCCAGAAGGGTTTTGTGTGTATGTGTTGCTTGTAGTCATGGCCACCAAACACATGGGGTCACCATTCCCTTTCTTGGTTCAATAATCCCAGAAAGTGAAAATGGTGATGAAACTCAATGACCATATATAAAAGAGTGATAAAATTCAGACATACATTAAATACAAATGGACTGGGCCTTAGAATTTAAACTACTCAGAGGCTCAGTAGCCGCCACCACAACCTGAAGAGCACCTCTCCAAAAGAACAAGCTCATTTTACCTGGCATGGCTCCAGCCGTGTTGTCTGCAGGCCCACATATCAAGCACACGACAAAAGGTTCGTGATGTGTAAACATATTCGAAAATGGTTGTCTTCCTGTTAAAAACATACCCTCCTTACAGCAGAGTTACAGCATCAGTTACTCCTAGGAAACTTCTCTTTGTCTAAGTTTATTTGCACCACAGCATGCGAGTGGTCTGTGATTCTGGTTTTGATACAATTAGATTAGCAGGGTGAGTTTTGCAAAGGTCCCACCTATTAAGGAGAGGGCAGATTAGGAGAACAGAATTACCTCATCTGCCCGTCCCAAGCGGCACAGTGAGCAGCAGAGCAAGTCTGCACACACTCACCTCTCAGCTAGTCTTCCCCTCAACTCTTTCTATTTTTAACATTCATCACGCACTTTAGCAAAAACCAACTCTGCAAAGTTGTATGACTTTGAAAACTCTGGGACCAGAGACAAAACTTGGGGAAATCCTATTGCATAAAAATTAATGTTGCAATGCAAAAAAAAAAAAAGTGTTTTTGATAATTCGAACTTTAATGTTTATTTCAGTAAAAACCAATCTAGTAAACTATTTTCAGCCAGGATTAGTCAGGACTGAAAAGCTGGACTGTTTTCCTTTGGAGACTGGATGTCTTTCCTGTTTGCAACAGGCTCCCATGTTCCAAACAGAGTAAATGGAATTGCCTTCAATCGCTTGTCTCATTCTGGCATTTTTAAACACAGAACCCTACTGACAGAGTATGGTTTGGCCTCCTGGAATGTAATTATTCTTTTCACTCATGGAACCTGGCATGCTCACAATGTATCAGCTTCAGCTTTTCCTTAAGAAAAATCACAACATGGGGTATAATGTAATGACAAGAAATGCAATTTCATTCCACCAGAAAACCTTAAAGCTCTTTCAAAAATACCTACAGCGTGGTGAAAAGTGCTTCTAATTCTTGCATTCCTGCTATTACCTGTATGGTATGCTTTTGCATGAATCAGAGTCTGGCCAATCTACAGTCAAACACACACAGTCCAGACGCTTTATATCACATACAGAAAGAGATGACTCTGGTTGGAAGGTCACCGTTCAAACAAGTCCCTTTTCCAACTGGTTTATAGTCTTCGCTTGATCACTGATCTCTAGAACTCTCAATATTAGGGGTATACACAGAATTCTCAGTTCCAACTCTGAAGAGCTATTCCTGTCCATCTAGACTAATAGGAAACATATGTTCTTTTTTTTTTTTTTTTTGCAAAGAATTCAGTGAGCCATGTCAGATTGTGCAAAGCTATCTCTGTGATTCCTGGGGGTGAAGTCCTGCTTGTAAGCCCTGAGGGTTTCTGTGAGGTGTGAAATTGTTGTGAAAGCATTTAAGAATCACATTATTCAAAAACAGTCAATTTTGCCAAGAAACAGAACCAGAGTTCCAGGATCCGTGTTGAGAAAAGGAGGTAGAACAGACAGAAGAGCTCATATTCAACTCCAAAGGCACACAGCCTTCTCAGCCCGCTGTCCTGCTTTTCCACAAAATCCTCTTTCCTCAAGATCAGGTGAGAGCCCACGAGACTCTGTCCCTGCGGTGGCCCCTGGTGTTTCCTTGCTGTAAATCACTAAGGAGTTTCACAATTCCGAAAGGTACCATGTGCTGGCATGAGGGTGTATGCTGCAACTATTTCAGTAGTCAAGTTCTTAAGGGAATTCCTTTCATAAACATCAAAATCATTTCCCCGAGCCCCAAATCTCACAAATTTTTAGAGGTAAAAACAAACAAACGAAAAACCAAAGTATTTACTTTGAAAAACTGCAAAAGCCTGCTTGTGGCACACACTGCCCCCTGCCCTGAACATCCATATAATCAAAAGAACACTGAATCTGTGCCCCACCCAAATTTTCCTGGACTACAGTCAGGTGTACTGGCCTCCACCACATGGTGGAGTGAAACAGCAGCCCCCAGTTATCAAAGAAACCTTCCCCTGGTGCCAGGTAGCTGAAGAGGCAAGCCACCTTACAGGTATTTCCAACACATCCAAATTCCACAATAATAGAAACTGTTTCCTTGTTTGATTTAAAAAAAAAAAAAACAAAAAAACCAAAAAACAAACAAAAACAAAAAAACAAAAACAAACAAACAAACAAAAAAAAACGCATGCATGCAACCAAGCTGGGCCTCCAAGAAAAGGAGACCCAGTGCTTTGGAAACTCCAACTCACTCACCGTGCACTTGTTGGGCTTCTCCCCCGAGTGGACCCTCATGTGGATCAACAGTTTATAACGCGCATTGAAGGGCTTGTACCTCCTAGGGCAGCCAGTCCAGAAGCACGTGAAATCTTCCCCCTTGCGCTGGTCTATGTGGACCTTCTCGATGTGCCTCACCAGTTCCTCCTGCTGGTCATACAGGGCACTGCAGTCTATCCAACGACAGCAGTGCTTGCCTCCGGAGTCCTCCATCTCCCCATCCTCATCCAGGCCAGCCTGGGTCAGGGCCAGTGGCTGGGTGTGAGGCAGAAGCTCTGGGTGGTGAAGGTGTGGGTGGGCATGGTATGGGGGTGGGGGGCCCTGAGGCGGGGGAAGAGGAGGGAGAGGTGGCGCCGAGGGCAGGTCCAAGGCACTACCTGGGAACTCCTCCAAGCGCTCAGTTTTGAGCATGTTGGCTGACTGGCCATCCTGGCCAGGTAGGCCCGGCTGCAGCACCATGTTGTTTCCAGGACCAGACTGCAGGCCACCATGCTCCAGCTGCTGCATGCGCTCGTACTCCAGTGTACCATCCTCGACGTAGCCTGGCAGTGCCTGTCCTCCACTGGCTAGCAGCATGCCTTTCTGTCCACTGGACACTGCACAAGACTGGGGGATGCAGCTGCCACGAACACCCAGGAAATGCCCATAAACCTCTGACTGTGGGGACATGTTGGCAGGGGAGGCTCTTGATCCGTTGATGTAGGCAACCAAGGATGTGGGCGAAGTGCGGATGATAGTATTGAAGTCAATCCCAATGCCATCAGACAGTGGGGACAAGGACAGCGCTCTCTTCTTGGAGCGGGTGGAGTGGGATCTGCTTGCTGAGTGCCGCGGACTAGGGTAAGGAGAATGGCTGTTTTCCATGCCAAAAAGGTAGGGTGGCAACGAGTTAGAGACGCTGTTGCTGGACCCTGGCGTGCTAGGAGGCAAGCTAAGGAGGTCCCCTAGGTCCATGCCATTTTGAGAGCCTTGGCTGGATGACAGTGAAGGAAAGGCCCTGTAGCTCTGAGACCACTCTTGCTTCACACTCAAGGCCGACTGACTCTCTGTCCGACTCAAAGTCGTGGATACCAGAGACTCTTGCAAAATAAGGGATCTGGAGAGGCAGCCAAAGAGAAGGGGAAAGAAAAAAAAAAAAAAAGGCATTTTAGAGAGCTAAGAGGACACTGGACTGGCAATCCCTTAAGTATTTCCTCCATTACATTCTTCACTAAACACCACTTCTTAGACTATGACAGAATCCAGGGCTTCTGGTATATAATATTTTACCAAGACAAACAATAAAAGTGAATGCTTACTAGAACAATGAAAGAGCTATTGTTATAAATAACTCTACCACTTTAATGAGAATTAATAATAGTCCTCACTTATTTCAAAGTATCTCCTTTTACAGAGAAGGGGGAAATTGGGGACTAGGAAAGCCATAGATCCTTGTCTTGGTAAATCAAATGACTATGTGTTAAGCACCTACTGTGTACACCTGCCAGGGTAGGCTTTCAGGTCATACAATTCTGAAAATCTACCTGGGAATGTAACATATGAGCCCACGATTTTTTTTTTAAAGTAAATCTCCAAGTTAAACACTAGAGACTTAATAATAATTTTACAATTTAGTGTCAATGATCTTACCAAATTAGACATTTTTAAAGGGCAATTTGCAATGCCAAGTACTCATCCATTTCAAAGGACCCTAGAAAATCTGTGAAAATGTAAAACACATGGGCAGAAAGCACACCTTGGTGACAAAGTACATACTTCACATGCTGGAGGCAGAATTCACTGTTTGTTACACACACACACACACACACACACACACACACACACACAAAAGCAGCCCTTAAGAGAACAAATCTATTATACATAAAGAAGTAACGAACTGAGAAGCTGCATTTGGAACCATGCATCAGGCCATGTGGGGGTTTAACCATACTGTTAGACAGGTTTCCCACGAGCTCTTGTCCTTGGATCTGAGCAGCATAAGGCCAAGAACAGGTCACTCACTTGCAATCATTCATTTTTACAACAATTCCTTCCCTGTCCTTAGCATTTACAATAATAATAATAATAATAATAATAATAATAATAATATGCTAAATATGTCACAATTCATTGTTTGCATATCAAAGTGGTTCATAATGATAATTCTAGCTCCTTGAAAATTCATTTTGCTTTCCAGGGACATTATTACCTTAAAAACAATTTTTAAAAAGAGAGAGAGAGAGAAAGAGAGAGAAAGAGAGAGAGAGAGAGAGAGAGAGAGAGAGAGAGAGACTATATCTGTTGGACAGAACATTCCAGAACATTCATCCCCAAACGGGTCAACATGTAGACATGGAGAAAAGGTACCTGATCCCCACTCAGATGTAGCAGACAGCTGAGAAACTTAGCTTATTTGATATGTGTCTTCAACTGGCTTTCTAGATCCTTCTATTTAAATAAATTAATCACCAATAATTCTTATGCAAAATGTGTCCCCTACATGAACACAGTTACTGTCTCTGGCTGTTAAATATCAACTCGTTGCAAAGGCAGCAAAGGATGGGGGAAGCATCATTTCACCCATCCCATACTCCACAGAATGGAAACCAGGAATACCATCCCTGCCAAGCCTTGGCTACTGTCAAGAAAACACCTGAGCTCTGGAAAAACACAGTGTAAGGTGGTAGGTAACACCACAATCACCTGAAGATGCCATTGGGTGTGGCAATGTTTACCAATGGCAAACACAGCAGGAACCTATCTATGTCCGACTGCCCCTGCCAGAGATTTGCTTCTTGCTTCACATCCTTACATTGGGACTAAAGTCCTCCTAAAAGCTCCAAAGTGGTCTCTGAACCGCTTGGGTTTTAATTCCCCATGAACACTGCTCAGTTATTTTCCAAGCACACTCACATCACATGGCTCTCTCTGCAGAGTCTGACTGGAAGCCAAGAGCCTTTTGACCCTATACCCCATGAGAGTCAGAAATTACACTCAGGCAAAAGCTACACTTTTAGACATGCTGTATACAAAGCAGAGACAACAGAGTCTGCTTTTCTACCAAGGTCAAGAAACCATGGGATGTCAGCACACTGACAGCTCCATGGCCCAATGGGTGCCTGTTCCTGGGAGGTAGCCATTTTAGAACATCTCAGACTTTTAAGCAGTGACTAACAGCCAGAGTAGCTCATTCAATTGTATGCACATTGCTGATAAATCTACATTGTTTGGTTCAATGGCAGCATAGAGAAACATGTTCATTTTTCCTATAATGAAAGGCAAATCTCATTTCTCTTAAATTACGCTGAACATGGCTTAATGTACAGCACAGCATGTCCCTGTACAGACATGTTGCTTAACATCTTCAGCATCTCAGTGCAATTGTCAAATCTTTTCCAGAGAGCAAACTGAATGGTCTACTTAAAGCAAAGGCGTAAACAGAGAGGTAGCTCACGATCCTCCCTCCCCCCCCCCCCAATACCTAATAGGAACAAAGCTTCCAACAAATGGCAGCCACTTCCTATGTCTTTCAACGATGCACTTTAGGAGACCTAATCATTCAAAGTCCTACCCCATGAAATCAATCTCTTTGTAAGGCAGCTCGACCATCTGCACCACATTGTATAGCATCTCTGAGGATCGTACTCACAAATGTCAAGGCCTTTCCAGTGTTAAATACAAATTAAGTACTCACAGAGAGTGCATAAAGAAGGGCCCAGCCTGGTGATGCAAGTCTGGAATCCCATCCTAGGATTCAGGAGGCTGAGGCTAGAAGATTGGGACTTGAGGCCAACACAGACTACATAGCAAGGTGCTATCTATCTCAAAGAACAGAATCAATGTATAAAAACAATGATCACACTAGCTGATGAACCATTACTGACAAAGCTTACAGAGCATTTTTATAATTTAACTTATTGAATACATGGTATGAGATAAATTAGATTCCTAAGATAATTTTTATGACTTTTGAAATATTTTTTGTCCTGACGCACATGAGATTTTATGTATTTATTTATTATGTAGAGTTCTACCTGTGTGTATGCCAGAAGAGGGCACCAGATCTCATTATGGGTGGTTGTGAGGCACCACGTGGTTGCTGGGAATTGAACTCAGGATCTTTGGAAGAGCAGCCAGTTCTCTTAACCACAGAGCCATCTCTCAAAATAAGGAAAAAAATCTGTGATCTCAAAGGAGTGATAGAAGGTCCTTAATAAAGCAAGAATGAAGGTAGGTGACTGGCAGAGACCGAGCCAGCTCTCATTTCTTCACAATGTACCCCAGTGCGGTCCACAATGCTCTGCTTGACTGAAAGACTTGGTTAAAAAAAAAAAAAAAAAAAACAGGCTTAGAATCACACTAGCTAGGATGGCAACACAAATTATTTCCCCGCGACAGTAGGCTAAACGAGTATGAAGGCTGCCAAAGATTCTAGCCTGTAACCCCTGCTGCTACACACACCAGGCCTGTGGAAGAAAGTGACAAAGAACTCAGAAAGCTGTGTCACTACACTGAGAGCAATCTCCATTTCCATATGTTCATTTGATCCTAACGACATCATTTCTGGTGACTGGTTTATTTGGAACTGGATGTGAAAGGCAAGATGATAAATCTAAAACCAAATAAAAGCAAAGTGAAAAACTCAGAAGCCATTGGGAAAAAATGTGCTCTCTAGAAGTCGTGGGACCTACAATGAGCAAGTTGAGCTGTTCTGCTCTAAAGCTTAAAAGAGGCTTTAACTTAAAGGTCATCTGGAATTTCTCAGACTGATGCTCATGAGGAACAACACATGTACATATAAGAATTGTACATATAACTAAATCTATATGAGTATAGTATATAATATGTGACATGTATGTACCACAAACCCACAGATCCTGGGAAAGAAGACCAGCCCTAGCCTCTCTGGAAATTGTCATCTATGTACCCTAGGAAATCTTCCAAAAGAGTGAGTATGGTTTATGAACACGGAACAGCTTTAGAAGACATCAGAGTGCACAGGAAGCCTAGAGTACATTTCTCGGTCCTTTTCTTGGCCTTCTGTGAGCTTTGTGGACATACTGCAAACAAAAAAAGGCAATTACCACCAATAATTACAGTTTAGAATATGCAAATAAATGCAAACTATTTAAACATAAACTGATATCACTATGTGGGTATCTGACGTTTGTAATGACAAGCTGCAAAACTGACACTGGGCAAATCATTTAGGCTTTCCGTGTCTCGAAACCACCACACCTTAAACATGAATGGCATTTGCTAGGATGAATAGTCAATGCTAAGTTCAAATACACAACACATGTGGACATACTAGGCAAGCTAAGTATCTATAATCCCACACAAACAGCATCCCATCTCCTTTTCTGGTTAGCTCTGCTAGGCTGAGATACTAAAAAACTGTATGAAGTAGCTGTTTTTGACATGCCCACCTTGTCATTTAAGGGACATATGAGCAATGGCCTTTACAGCAGGATTGACAGGGACTCCTGACTCTTCAACGGAATACACTATTTAGCACTGTGGTTGGGTAATAAGAAATGACTGGAAATTTCTTCACAGCAAATACACAGCACCAAGTCAGAATTAGAATCACTGCATTAAACAGAGCACAAGTGAAAGATGGACTATGTTCTCTTAGGAGAAAATTATATTCACATCAAGTAAGTAAAAAAGAAAAGAAAAAAGAAAGAAATATGGCTGGCAAATCTCTGAAAACTGCTCAATGTTATCAATATGAAGAAATATCACTTAAGTTAATTACACAATTATAATCTCAAACCAATGAAATGTATGGACAAAATTAAATATATGATCCTGTCTGAGACCACTGCCAAGCCACTTGTGGATTGTCCTCTGCAGTGTAACCCGAGAATGCCTGTCAATAGCATCAAAGCTGCTAATAATGACTGTTTAAACCAACAAATTTTAACTCCCAAGAATTTGTTCTAATCACTAGAGACATGACATAAACGATTTATAGACTAATCCAATAAAGTATTATTTGTAATGCTAAAATAAGAGACAGAGATACACTACAAGCTATTAAGGGAGGAAAACATGCAACAGTTCTACCCTGTGGCGATGCCTATGAACCACAATTGTAGTGGGATATTTACTTTGTGGCCTTCTGTGGCACTGACCACGCCCATTTGGGGGTGGAACCAGGGGCAGAAGTGATCTGTGGAAGGAGGTCTGAGGAGGAGCCTGGGAAAGCTCTCTTGCTGGCAGGACACAAAAAGGAGAGCATCCAGTGGAACTTGCTGGTGTTCATCTGTCTAGGTTGTAAGTTATTTCTCCCTGAATAAACATCTATTCGGTCTATTTGTTTATCCTGATCCTTATTAAACCACAATACACAATGATCAGCATGGCAAGATATCCCTAGAGGTACAAAAGTGGCACTTATAACTTGGTGGTAACCAACAGTTATCTAATTGAACTGAAGTCCTGTTTAACAGGAAGGAAATCACATCTGGTACTATAAACCTAGTCAAGAACACATCCTAGTGAGGTCACAGACTCAGAGGAGAGCCCAACAAAGCCACTCTCCTAAACCAGTATAATTTCTAACTTCACTCTAAACACCTATCCTTATACCCACAGGAATGAGCAGCTTTCACTCCTTATCAACGAGGCTTCATTTCACAGAATATGGAGGCCCTTCCTTAGAGAACACCACAACTAGCCTGATGGCAGAGAACAACCTACTACAGCGTATCCAGTTGCCATGTAACTCAACCCCAACACCGTCAAGGAAGAGGTGATAAGAATGTACTAGCCAGAAACACCGTGTCTTCTAGAGATGGCAAGGAAGCTATACTCATGAAATCTCATGGTAACACCAGTTGACATGCAAACCTGGATGGTGAAAATTTCACAGGGTCACCACCCTAAATGATGAGTTACATGGAATTAAAGATTGCTAAGAGAGGGAGAACTAGTCTCTGCCAGGGATGAATCCCCTAAACCATTAAACAAATGCCAAGTGGTCAGACGTAAAGAATACTCATAAAAGCAAAACTAAAGGAACTCAGCAGGTTGCATTTACTATTTATTTGCATATATGTATGCAACAATAATAATGAAAGAATAAGAAGCCATGAATTTGAAAGAAAGGGGTTGGAGAGAGGACAGGGAAGAGGAAAATGATATAATTTTTTTTTACATCATGAAAAAGAACTAAAGACCTAATAATAAAGAACTGGTAAGAATTTATTTCTGTGCAAATCAAAACAACTTTGAGATACCATCTTACTCCTGCCAGAATGGCTAAAATTAGAAACACCAATGCTGGAGAGGATGTGGAGAAAGGGGAACATTCCTCCACTGCTGGTGGGAGTGCAAGCTTGTACAGCCATTTTGGAGATCAGTATGGCGGTTCCTCAGGAAAATGGGAATCAGTCTACCACAGGACCCAGCAATTCCCCCTCTTGGGCATATACCCAAATGATTCACATCCATGCAACAAAGACATGTGCTCAACTATGTTCATCGCAGCATTATTTGTAATAGCAAGAACCTGGAAGCAACCTAGATGCCCCTCTATTGAAGAATGGATAAAGAAGATGTGGCACATTTACACAATGGAATACTACTCTGTGGGGGAAAAAACAATGGAATTTTAAAATTCACAGGCAAGTGGATGGAACTTGAAGAAACCATCCTGAATGAGGTAACCCAGTCACAAAAAGAGGAATGTGGATTTAGACCTAGAGCAAAGGATCACCAGCCTATAATTCACACCGCCAGAGAAACTAGGATACAAGGAGGATTCTAAGAGATTCATATAAGGTCCCTCACAGAAGGGGAAAGGGACAAGATCTCCAGAGCACCTGGGGAGTGTGGGGGGGCAGTGAGTGAAGAGAGAACTAAGAGAAAAAGAAGGGGAAGAGAGGAAAGCACGTGGGACTAAGAAGATTGAGTCAGGGGAGGAATAGACAAGAGAAGTGGGGGACAAGAAAATAGACAAGAAAAGAGGGAGCCATTATAGGTTTGAAGAGAAAACTGAACCTAGAGAAATGTCCAGAGATCTACAAGACTGACCCCAACTATCAATTTGAGCAACAGTGTAAAGGCTACCATAAATGCCCTTCCCTGATAATGAGATCAACAACTAACTTATCCACCATCATACAGTCCTCATCTAGTAGCTGATGGAAACAGAAGCAAACACCCACAAGTAAACACTGAGCTGAACTGGAATCCAGATGCAGAGGGAGAGGACAAGACCAGGCTGCAGAAACACATAGAGACAGCTGACCTGAACAAGGAGGAGCTAATGGGCCCCCAGACTGATAGCTGGGAATCCAGCATTGGACTGATTCAGACCCACTGAACATGGGTCTCAGCTAAAAGGCCTGGACAATCTAAGGGACCTCAGACAGTGGAACCAGGATGTATTCCTGGTGCACAAAAGGACTTTGGGAGCACATTCCCCATGGAGAGATACTCCCTTAACCTAAAGACAGGAGAGAAGTCCTAGTCCCTACTCCAAATGGCTTGACAAATTTAGAAGACCCCTCCTGGAGGGCATCAACCTACATGTGGAGTGGGTGGGCATGGGAGAGGAAGGGAATGGGGGGGCATGAGAGGGTGGGAGAGAGGGAAAGAGGGAGGGGGAAGGGAACTGGGATCGATATGTAAAACAAAAATAATTATATGAAAAAATAATTTATTTCTGTTCTTTCTTTGTAAAATGGCATTTGGGGCTTTGGGGCGGGAGGAAACCATGATATCAGAGCTAAAGAAGATGTCTTACAAGAGAGCTTAAGTAATAATTATTGGAAAAAGCTTTAAAATGTTGTCTATTATTCGGTCTACTTGATGGTCTGGAAATCCCGTGCCTGTAGGGCATGTGTTCCCATGGATCTGAAGGGTATTCATCAAGTTTCCCTCAGGGTAATCTCAGGGTGATGAGACTCACTGTGATTGCATTTATTACTTAATGCTTTTCTATCTATAGTTTCCCATTTTCTCCAGTGCATAGCAATTATACAACCATAGGGGAAACAATCACCTTTGCAGCTTTTTAAAGGGCAAACATCTCTCAGACTGAATGGTTCATGGCCTCTCTAGCCTCGCCTACCTATGGAACACCTGATGCATGGAATACTCTGCTAGTTTACTCACTAGTTTCTCTTTAGTGCTAGACTGTAATGCACAGTTGCTTCTCAAGCTTTTATTCACCTGATGGAACACACAAACCAATGTGCAACCTTTCCAACCTGCTTTAAGTGGGTTCCACCCTTCACTTCACCAAGCCATTTCTCAACTCCAATTTCTTCTCCCATCAGAGAAAGAGAGAGAGAGGCAGAGAGAGAGAGAAAGAGAGAGAGAGAGAGAGAACATTCCCAGAGAAAAGTTCACAGAATGCACAGTCAAAAAACACTTGTCAGCGCATCGTCAAGATGCTGTCTTTTAAGAATATATTATGCTAAGGAACCAGATATGCCAGGAAATACTGAGATAATGACCCCTCTGGCCGTACCATGAAACAGACTTCATAAGGCATCTGGCTTGAGCGGCCTGAGTTCTGCCTACTATCGTCTATTTCTCCATTAATTATGACTGCCTTCCAGGCATGGGATGGACTTGCCATAGACAGGAAGCTGAAGGCTTCCAGTGACACCCACCAAGGAGCAGAGTTAATTTTACATGCAGCACTCAGCAAGGCTGAAGAGTCCCTTGAGGCATAATCATCAATGGGAAAATGACAGCAGCCTCCCATCACTAAAGTCTCAGGTGGAAAACAAGCTTTCACTAAAAAGAAAAAAAAAAAAAAAAAAAAAAACAGCCATGATTTCAGAGTCTCAACTGGAGGCTGGAAGGAGGCCCAGAAAAAAAATGAGCAGAGAGAAGAGAAACGTAGAAACAAAGTCTCAGGACCACAAGATTCTTGGTGGTTACAGCCCACACAGAAGGATGCAGAGAGCTTTGCAAGAGCCATCACCTCAGAACTGATGCTCACAGGCAGTTCTTTGCAAGAAAATAACCTTTAAAATATAAGATAATACTCTTCAAAAGAAAGAGACCTTACACGTGCCATAGTTCACTTTATACACACACACACACACAAACACACACACACACACACACACACACACACACCAACCCTGAGGAAAAATAAAATTTTGTCTAAAGGGGAGTGGTTTCTTTTCAATTTAACACTTTTGAATGAAAAAGACACAAGATATTACTGAATTTACACTGACACCTAATCAAATATTTAACTAAACGCTTATGTAACTATAACATTATGTCTTCCCAAACACATTATGATTCCCTAAACTGTTGCACTATGCACAGAGTAGGTACTCAATACGTGCCTCAGTAGATGAGTGGACAGGTGAGTTAACAGACTGTGGGCTTGTACACCAGCCCTGAGACACTGCGATGAGTAACCCCAAAACCCGACAGGTATGCAGAGAGCACTTGGTTTGGCCATAGTATGACTTTCCCTGTAAAGGAGACTTTGGTTCAAGAGGCTCTCAAATCTCACGTGACCAGACCACAGCTATTACAGCATCCATCCTGATTAAGATTTAAGAATGGTACTCACTTTTTAAGACACATTCTCCTACAAAGCTGAAACTGAAAGTACCAGTGAGTGAACGTGAACAAGCGAGTGTGAGTCGGTGTGTGTGTGAGAGTGAGTACATCAGTGTTCAGGAAGAGCAGGGACAACACTCGTGGGGTATAAGTACACCAGAAGGAAAGGGGGGGGGGTAAAAAAACATAAGTTGAGACCTGGAATCTGAAGGAGGTCTATTCAGGTTGGCTGCATTCACTGCCCTCGGTAAGCTAGGACTGATCTGCTTGCATGCTGTGGAGACCTGGCTTGCTGGAGGTGAAATGGGTCCCAGTCGCTGAACCATCATGGGACTGCTGGTGACCACTAGATTGTTGCAGCTGCCTTTTCCAATGGACTTGCACTGAGGCCCAAAGCCAAGAGCCCCTAAAAACAAATGAATCAGGTTAGCTTTCATGTCCCTTACATCAGCAATCAATTCATACACATGTGCACATTTACACTGGGGCTCATCGCTAAAGACAGTCCTTGGACCTTCTCTGTTCAGTAATTTTTCTTTTTTGACGCTCAATTTCATGTGGCCTAGGCTGCCCTCCAACTTACTGTGTAGCAAAGATAGCTTTGAGTCCCTGCTCTTCCTGTCTCCACCTCCCAAGTGCTGGTGTTACAAGAGCATCTCTTTAGTATTGATTACATCAGAAGGCACATGAATCCATGGCAAAAGCTGTAATGCTATAAAGCTTTTCATAATCACCACTGGACACCAAATGTGGCTCAATGTCACTGGGTAGAAGTGAGAATCATCTGCTGAAAATGATGCTGCAAGGCGTAATTTATATTCTTAACCGAAGGGTGAAGGTATCTAGCAGATGGAATCATCTTTATCAACTCAATTCCTTCCTAGAGTAGCTAATATTTTGAATCACACAGCAAATAAAGTCAATACTGCTGGGGGAGGAGCAAAACTGTTTAACCAATTTGATTGCAAATCTGTACTTCCCTCTTTAAAGGAGAATGATAGTCAAGATATATCCCTTTAACCCTGGATTTTCCCTCTTCAGGCCAAGACATTGCCATGGGACACAGAGCAATTACTTTTTTCAATTCGAGATGGGAAATCCATAAAATATTCACTTGGAAAGGTAACTGAATTTAACAACATTTTTGTGTTTTCATCACTTACAACATTCCGATGTAAAAATAAAAGTCTGGTACATACCCAAAGGAGAAAGAAATAAAGGCAAAGAAACCCACAAGAATCTGTGTCGTTAAAGAGAACTGGATGCAGAGAAGAAACAGCTGACATTGCCATGACTCATTGTTTAAAATAACAGTAAACGCTGAGTCAATCTAGACATTCCCTTTGCATGGATGTGCCTCCTCAAATGTGTCTGCCAGCTACCTGGTTGAGTGTCAGTGCCTTATACTTTATCCCCAAATCTAACAAATAAACAGAAATTTCCCACTAGGTTCTCTGACTCTGTCACCACTCTACTTGAGACCAAAGTATGTAGAATTTGCCACTGTAACTTTCTTTTCATATCCCCCCAAACCCCAATTAAACCAAACAGCTCTTTTATTTGGCATTAATTTTGGTTACATTTTTTTTTCTAATAGCCCCTTGAGACAAAACTGACCTGGAAAGCTGTTGCCATATCCTCACAAATGAAGATGCACCTCAACTACGCTGGTGGGGTCACAGGTCAGTTAGGTGGCAGCGGGCTCCACATCAGCACTGTGGAGCTCACAGCCAGATGCGCATAGCCTGCCCATGGCCACACTGGTAATTATCATCTGTGAAAACGCAGTGTATTTCCAGGGTACCCACATGCTTTAGTTTGGGCTCTAAGCCCTCTCTTGAACATTTTCCAAGATCACTGGCTCCTAAAGAAATTTCTCAGATCTTTTTTTCAGATGTACAAGTTTGCCTCTCCCTCCCCTTGCAGATTTCTGATCCATTATCTTGTGTCTTCCAAGACCGGTTGGAGACATTCCATTTTTTATGAGTAATATGGTATTGGACCATCAGGGTTTTTGCCTTCACATGGGTGAGTTTTTCACATGATACTCATAAACTGAATCTCTCTGAACATTCTTAACCCTGTATATCTGCAAATGCTCTCTTTTTACCTTGGAAAAGGCAACACAGTAGTGCCTAGACTAACCTAGGCTATAATAACCTGGGTCATCTCCTCAGCTCCCACTGTTACTATCCTTTTCTACTGAAAGCAATATCAGATGTCAAGCATTCAAACAGAATGCCATATACTCTCATGCAATGAACTGTCACTCTATGTCATTTTATCCTTAATAAAACTATTAACATCTATCTGCCTCTAAAACAAACACAATTGTCACTCTATCAGTACACACAAGAAGCACAACTCAGTAACAAAGCATATACCTATTTGTCAAATCTAAAATCCTGTGTGTATATACATGTATATTAAAAGCATGAACAACCAATTATTACCTATAGTATATGTACATATATATATGTGTGCATAGTAAAAACATGAAGAGCCAATCAATGTATGATATCATTACTTCAGAAATGCAATGAAAACAGGTATACTTAGAATTAGCAATTGCCAAATGTGATAACAGCAACTTTTACTTAAACCCTTGTTCACAACTATGTCTGTAACTTATGTATCTAGTGAGCATCTCCACATCTTTGAGGTTTCAACCCAAAGGTCTAGGCCTGCCCTTCCATCATCACCATCATGTGGACAGATCTGTCCTTTCAAACTTCAGGGAATGAACCTATTACATTCCCACTATCCTCTCATTTCAATTCTTTAAAAAAAAAAAAAAAAAGTGAAGTCCTTGTTTTACATGTATCTGCTTCCTAACAACCCAGCCTATTATGAAGCTATGAATGAATGCATGGAAATTGAAAATGGTTACACTGAATATTAAATGCTACCCAACTATTTTCATGGAAGCCCTCCTACTGTGTTTTATGAAGCATAGGACCATTTTTAAAAAATCCAAACACAGTGAATCCTTTGATGCTTCTCCACAGTGTAACTGACAAAGCTGAATAGAAGATAGAACTGGTGACAGTAGTAATTGTAAATGTTTTCCTGGTTCAAGGTGTGGCACTGAACAAGGATTCCACTAGAACCCTGCAGCCTAGACTCTCTGTAGTGAAGATGCCTCAGTCCTTCTCTGCCCAGTAACCCAACACTGTGCATGCCCTCTCCGGACTACTCCACTACTCCAAACACATGGACCAACTTAAAACATCCTCTAACCACAGAAGAGTGACAGCTTGTGTCAACAGTGAATTTCTCAGAAACATGCAGTATTTGTGTGCAGAGATGAGAATGATCTAGAATGATCTATGTCACAAAGGGAAGTAAATAAGAGCTATGCAAAGAGCCACTATTAACAATCATTAGAAGTCTAATTCTTTTTCAGAATAGCAGACATAAAGATCAGCTCTGAGCTACTCAGTGTAAGAGTAGACTCTGAGAGCAGCCTGCTCTTTTGTGTGACTGAATATTTGGAGTCAGTATTTCTATCTTACCATCTACCAAGCAAGAAAAGAAATCAATGTTGCCTCATAAGGCGCCCTTGCGTCTAGTAACAACACATGCAAAGGACTCAGTAGCAAGTAGGCACTAAGGATGTCAGCAGCTCTCATTACTAATGGTATTGTTTCATGCCTACTCTTGCTTTTCTGTTCCACTCTATTAAAGAAGAAAAGTTCTTCACAATTCTTTGCACAAAACAAGATAGTAAATGCTGCTGTTTAAATCTCTGCCCATTTCCAATGTTCTTCCTCTTTTGAGCCTAGAGCCAATTTTTTTTTTTTTAAGCCAGGTGTCATCACAGATAGAAGTTTGCAACTGGCCAAGTTTGAATGTTCCCTGGCTTGTTGTTCCATAAAAACAAACCTTACAGCTTTTCTGACTACCAGATGTGCCAACTACTTGGGCACTAGTTTTCTTTTTTGAAATATCGCTTATTTTTAGAGACAGCATGGTGTGTGTTTTAAAATGTGTTTACTGTTCAAATAAAGATCTGAGAGGATGGTGTTCTGTGTACCACATAGATTCTAGCCAAGATCACCCTGTGCTGGTGGGAAGCCCAAAACATTTTGCATCTCCGAGTTTCTCAACTGACTGGACACTTTAGAAGGGCTGTGATTTTCATAAATGTCTTCATTAGTCGAAAGAGACTTCTACAAAGCCAAGGTTGATTAGGTCATACTCATCGTAAATGGGTTGCATCTTTCCTAACTGCAGGATGCATCTTTCCTAACTGCTCATGTCTACTCACTGGTTCTCTTAAAATCCACATGGATACAGAGGGCAACAAAAATGTAACACAGATAAGAGGGCAGAGCTGACGTAATCAGATCTTTGCTGTTCTTCATCACTAATCAACTGGCAATTACAGAATGCTAACCATGATCCAGCCAGCCCATGGAGGCAGTAGCCACAGGATGGACTAAGTCCCCACTAAGGCCACTTCCCAGTTTTTTTTTTAAAAAAATAATCCTTGCCTTATGATGGACCATGTGAAATAGCTTTTATCAGGGCACAAACAACTACAGAAGATCCACTTCTAAACAGTTCAGTGCAACTCACACATAGGGCATTTTCAAGGCAAAAGTATTATATTGGATAGGTTCAAGGCCTGGCCCCTGCTCTCACTGGCTATGTGGCAATAGGCAGAGTCCTTGAGATCACTCTGTCCTAGTATCGTCTTCTAAAATAGGAATGGTCAGGTCACTTAATGCATGGAATTGCTTTAATGACAATGGGTTAATATTAATATACATGCCACCACATTTAACCCTCTGGGTTCTCTATGCAACATTAAGGACCTAAAAAAACAGGTTGCAGAAATATGAAAATATTCTCCAACTTCACCTATTGTCATTACTTCATCTAGCACAAGAACTCATGAGCTTGCTCATATCAATTCTGGGACCATTAAGAATAAGTCATAGATTTCATATTTTTAACCTCTAAATGTGTAACCATAATACAATGATAAAATTCAAAGCATTCAGCAAGGCTACAATACTAGTAAAAAAACATTGTGCTCACATATTACCAATAACACATGTGATGATACATATAGAGCACCTTGCTTTCTACTGCAGGATTACATAGTGTAAAGGAAGTTTTAATCCACACTCTAGTGGTCTCCAAGAATAGATTAGGAAATCAGTGGATACCAGAGCACTGAAGGTTGACAGAAAAGTTGAAAGGCTAAAGGAAGAAAAGGACAGGCTAACATCACCAGAGTCAAGAGCTCACATCTGCACCATAGCCCCACCACCCACTAGTTTTATGGTCGTCCCACACTGTGTAAGCCTCTCTGGGTCTGTTCCCTGGTTCTACAATGAGTTTAATGCTGCAGGACAGCACAGCTGTTAAGACGGCTGGAAGAGCTAATATGTGTGA